ATAAGCGAGAGCTAGAGGAAGAGGGGAAGAGGGTTAATGAAGAGAGGAAAAAGAGAAGGAGGTGGAGAGGAAGGAAGGAAAGGAAAAAGAGGTAGACTGGGGTTCAGGAGTGGTGGCTGAACCTATGTCACCCATGAAGAGTCATTGATGAGTGGTGACTGAGGTGGTGACAAACTGCAAGTAGAGGTCAGGCCTCCATGGGTCAGGGACAGGTGTAATAGGCTCCACAAAGAATCAGCATGGTCCCCTGAGGTGCATGAGCACCTGGAAAGGCTCCCAGAGCTGAGAGGCTGCTGTCCTCACTGTTATGAATGCAGAGAAAGGACAGAGAAGAAAGCAGCAGCAGGGAAAGGGACAGCAGAGCTCAGGAGTTGATCACATAACCAGTTGTCTCAGGTTGAAGACAATGCTCACAGGGAAGATCACAGAGTCTCATTGTCCAGAGGTATGGTGGGTTACATAGACATGAGCATGGCTTAGGCGAAGCACACACTTGGCTGACCTTAGTCTCAACACCCTCCGAGTCAGAACTGGGCAATCAGAAGCCACTTTTCTAAACCCAGTTCCTGGTATAAATGGTGCCACATGGCACTCAGCCACATCTGTGTGGAGACACTGCTACCAGCATGTTCCAGGGTCTCAGGCAACATCTAGTGACAGGCCCAAGGGACTCAAGCACTTGTCCTGAAATGTGCAGGACAGAAATACCCAAGCTGAGGTCAAGCTACTGCCCTGGCTGTGCTCCTTGGCATGCAAGGCAAATTGAAGCATTTGTCTGTGTGTCTTTCTGGTTTTATTTTGGTTAGCCATCACTAATATTCACCAGCCTTACCACTCTGTTTCTCGTGGTGTTGGGAATTGGTCCCAAGGCCTTATGCACGCTCAGCCTGCAGCTCCGGTAGCCACACCACTGCACATCCTCTCCATTTGCAGAGCACAGCTCAGGGGGATCCGTCAGTCCCAGTGTGCAGCCACCACCACGATTCCTCCCGAGATCACTTCCTCTGCTAAAACTGAGCTCTGCATCCCACGACAGTAGCTCCCCATTCTCTCCTCTGTCCAACCCTAGCACCCATCATCCTGCCTTCTAGTTCTGTGATTTGACAGAGTGCAGTCATGCACTGGCTTCTGTGACTGACCTAATTCTTCAAGGCTCCTTGGTGTTCAGCAGGCATCACACTTGCTCTTTCAAAATGAACCAAGGTCCACTGCACAAATGAACAGTGCTCACCCAGAACATGTCATTTTCTGGTTTCAATTACAGTAGACAACCATGGTCCAAAAGCATTACCTGAAAAGTTCCATAAATGAACAATTCTCAGATTTGGAATTGTGTACTATTCAGAGGAGTCTCACCAAATCTCTTCTATTTTTCACCATCACTCTTACATTGGGAACAGAAAGGTGTCTTTGTCCCACGTGTTGATATTATTAGGGACATTATAAGGTTTTGTGTTACTGGATCTGCCTCTGTAGTAACAGAGTCCTGTGTTCAAGGAGGAAGATGGTGGTCCATGTCACAATGCCCACATTCTCATTCCAGCTCATCATCCTTGCATCAACCTGCAACATCACATGTAGTATTGTGTGGGTGCAATGAGATATCTGAGAGAAGGATTCCACTGTAATTATAATTGTCATTAGTTATTACCATTAATCTCTCACTTACCTGCCTTATAAAATAAACCTCATAGTTGTATGTACATTTTAAAAATCCTACAGGGCGTGGGGAGATGGCTCAAGGTTAAGAGCTCTTGTTGCTTCTCCAGAGGACCTGAGTTCCATCCCCTACACCTATGTTGGGGACTCATTAGACCTATAACTTCAGCTCCAGGAGATCCAACATCCTTCTCTGGTCTCAGGACACTAGGAACCCACACACATGTGGCAAACACACAGACACATGTCTCACCAACACATACAGGTATATATAAATTAAAGTAAACTACATCTTTAAAAAAACTAAGGGAAAAAAACCTGTATTTTGCTCGGCAGTGGTGGCACATGCCTTTAATCCCTTTACTAAGGGGGCAGAAAAAGATGGATCTCAAAGGCCAGACAGGTCTACAGAGCAAGGAGAGGCTTCCAAGTTACAGAGAAACCCTGTCTCGAAAAGCAAAAACAACAAAAAAATGTATTTATGATTTGTTTCTAGGAGCTGTTATAAACATGCCCTAGAGGGTCTCAGATTACAAATTTTTTTCTTTTTAATCCACTCAGCTGTCAGTAGGCACTGTGTTTCCTCCTTCAGCTACTATGAATGATGCTGCTATGGTCATAGGTTTACAATTATCTCCTTGAGCATCCTTAGAATTTGCGCTCTCTCTCTCTCTCTCTCTCTCTCTCTCTCTGTGTGTGTGTGTGTGTGTGTGTGTGTGTGTTTATGTGTGTGTGTGTGTGTGTGTGTGTGTGTGTGTGTGTGTGTGTATACTGTGTTGTTTCCATTGATCTCGGGTGAATGTCTGATTTCATTTGCACTGTGACTCTCTGGTTGTTTGACAGAATGCTGTTGTTGATTTACACATGTGTGTCTAGTTTTTATTTCACTACTGATATATGGATTTCTAGGCTGGCAAAACAGCAACAAGAAATCCTATTAATGACTTTTTTAAAGACAGAGCCTCACTATGTACCCAGGCTGGCCTGAAATGCCTCAAACCTGCAGCAAACCTCTGCTGTAGCTTTCCTACTGCTGGGATTTCAGGCATATGCTATCATGCCCAACCAGAAGACTCCAGTTTTTAAAGGGTATTGAAAGTGGATCTAGCTTAATATGCAATCAATCCAGGAGAATGATCCTGTGCTTTTGGAAATGTGCACATGCTGAGGCTGAGTGTCTCTCATGCCTATTAGGGCCAGCTGATTCACAGATCAGCATTAATTGGTCCAAATCCTGAATTTCCTTAAGGAGCTTCTGTGTGGTGTTTCTATCCACTGTTGACAGTCAGGTATCAAACCCTCATCTATTACTGTACAGCTATCTCCTCCTCTGGAACTTTCCCTTTTACAACACCTACTTAGGTCTCTCTTGTTCCATACACACAGTCAGATGTCACTTTGGGATGCAACTGGTCTGAGAACTGCATTATCTCCACATTGCATCCTTGAGCAGACACTATAGAGTGTTTACAGAAACGAAGGTGGTTGTCAGGTCACCTGGTGTGATAAGCCTATAGGATATAAGAGTCTATAACATCTGTCCTTGACTAACATTATCAATATGTGGTGTGTGACTGTGCATTTGCAGTTTCTGTATCTTCTTCCCGCCATAAACTTTTAATCACCTATTAAACTCCAATACAGCCACCTTGGTTTGGTTACCTTTTGCACTGAACAAATTTTCGATGTTTCCAGTTTCAACTTCTTTATTTCGTTTTATCTCATGGCTCTTCTGAAACCAGCATGCACATGGATCTCATTTCTTAACTGACTTATCAGTCTCTGCTTTCAATAAAAGGGTTTAACTCAGGTACACTTCAATTAATCTTCAAATAATTACTGAGAGGAAATCCTTGCTAGTTCAGCTTTAGCTGTCAACTTGACACAGTCTGGGGTCACCTGAGAAAGGAGTCTCAATTGAGAGAATCCTAGGCCATATTGACCTGCAGGCATTTCTTTGTGCTCACCTTAATTGTTAATTGGTATATGAAGGCCCAACCAACACAGTGGCTACATTCCTGAGTAGGACATCCTGGGCTGGATTAGAAAACTAGCTAAAGACAAGCCTGTGAACCAGCTAGCATGCAGCATCCTCTATAGTTTCTCCTCCAGCTTCTGCCCTGACTTCCCTCAGTGATGGTCTGTGACCTGGAGGTGGAATCTGAAATCATCCCTTTCCTCCCCAGTCTCTTTTGGCCCAAGTGTTCATATCACAGCAACAGAAAGCAAGCAAGGACACTCACCTACTCCACTTAGTATTTTCAGCTCTGCATTCCTTCTATCCTCCCCTTAACTCCCCACCTTTGCCTTTTTGGACTAGTTGATACTCTTAGTGTTCCTCTTTGATTCTCTTCTCATGTTTGTACATTTGCCTTAGGGATTAAATCACCATCATTTAATGCTCACTATTAGGGTGTGTGCATGGGATGGGGGAGGACACACCCCTGAGCGAATACAGAGGTCAGAGGATAACTTCTGGGATATGGTTCTCATCTTCCACCTTTTGAGGACAGCTGGTCAGTGAGCATCCAGATGGGAATCAACACCTTAAACTTATAAAAGCCTTGTTTGAGTATCAATTTCCTTTCTGTAGTATACAATCATCTTGGTCCCTCTAACAGTATACTATCATTGCCACAGATTGCACATTTATACTTTAAGCACAGATTTGTAATTATTGCTTTATGCATTAGTGTTTGCAGCCATACAGGAATAACATACAGAAAAAAAAAAAAGGAATTACAGCCCCGAAGCACACTGACACTTTTGTTTCCGGGGTTATTACCCTGCCCTGTGTTCATTTCTTCTGGGGCTTTGAGCTAACCTTTGGCATCATTTCATTACAGCCTGGAGAACTCCCTCTACCATGCCTTGTAAGGCAAGTCCACTGATACCAATTCCCTTCAGCTTTTATCTGGAAATGTCTTGCTTTCTACTAAATTCAGAAGGATAATTTTTCTTGACAAAACTGGATGACATTCTTCAGGGTTTGCATGTGTTTTCCTGTATCTCCTGGTCTCCATCGTCTCTGACGGGAAATTAACTGTTAATCTCATCATGGTGTCCCCAAAAACCATCTGTGGCCCACTGTAAACCCGGACCCCTCTGGGAGCACAAGCTGTTAGTCTTAAGTGATCTCCGGGTGCTTGGAGAGACTGCAAGGCTCTGACATTAGACCTGTCAGGGCTAAGGTCTCTTTCTCAAAGCTCCTCCTCATTTGGGATCCCCTTCCCAGGAAGGCATCTTTAGAACTCCTCCCCCTCCAACTCAGAGCTTCCGCCACTTCCTTGGAGTGGCTCCTCCTCCTCAGAGCGTCGTCCCCTCCCCCCACCTCCCCAGAGTGGCTCCTCCTCCTCCGAGCATTCCCACCTCCCAGGAGTGGATTCTCTTCTCCTAAAAGTCACCTCCTCCTCAGAGCGTCACCACTTCCTCCCCCAGTGACCTCCTCTTCAGAGTGCTCCTCACAACAACCCTCCTCAGAACTCTTGTTCCTCGGAGCTCCACCCAGTTCCTCCGGGGCTCCAGAAACCACTTGCCTCTCTGCCAGGCTTCAGAACTGCTACTGTCAAGGCTGGGCTTGAGTCTGCCCCTCCGCTGCGGAAGAGGTGAGAGACAGACACCCCCCCCAACCCCTAAACTGGGGTGACCTTGGCACTAGGGCGTGGCAGTCCCTCCCCTTTGGGCGGGGTACTTTTCCTTGTTAGAGTGGGCTGAGGGGGAAACCCCAGGGCTTCTAGTTTCTTGAGGGTGGATGAAGTAAGTTGTCCCAGGCTAAGGCTAAGATGCCAGAACCACCCTGGGTCTGATAAAGAGCAGGTTCCTGGGACTCACCCCAGAAATCACGGGGTCCTGGAACAGGGAATAGCCAGGCTTCAGGGCTGAGGACCTTGCTCTGAAGTGAGCAGGGTGAAGACCCTACCCTGGCCCTTCGCATAACTTTCCCTTTGGAGTGTATTCTGGTTCTTGTGAACACAGGAAGTACCTAAGCAAACCAGACTTCTCTCCAAAGACCCTGCTTCTTGTCCTTTGGGGTTCACTGAAGGTCGGGAAGGGAAGAAGGAGCTGGTGAGTGGGCCCTTGCCAGCCCTGCTTGTACCATTTGCCCCTGCAATGTTGTTGTCAGTGACTGGCCATCTTAGAGGACCCATTAACATTTAATTAGGAAACACTAAAAGAAATCTACACTGAGCCAAAATCCCAGCAGTCAGGTGGCAGGAGCAGGAAAAACTCTGAGTTCTAGGACAGCCTGGTCTACATGTCTACATGTGAGTTCCAGGACAGCCTGGCCTTCATGTCTGCATGTGAGATCCACGACAGCCAGAACTACATAGTGAGATCCTCTCTCAAAACAAACAAGAAAAAGGAAACAGAAACAAGAAATTCTACACTAAGCATACAAGGAATTTACAGGAAACGATCATGGACCACCAACTAGAATGCACAATTAATATCCTGTTGTACTTTAACATTATTATCTCCTGGTCTGAGGATGAAAGGGATTGGAGATTTTGGTTTTTTTCTGTGGGGCTGTTCCCACGGCATCTGGAAAGAGTTGCACTGGGGCTCCGAGGATATAAAAGCAGCTGCCCACCATTCAGCTTGATCCTAAAGACAGACATGGAGTGTACAAATAATGCTTCAAAGAACAGAACGTTTTGGGATAATTCTTAGGGAACAAAATGTTTCATGAGGGACTGAATGGAATGTTTTCCAAAGCCTCAGCTGACCGTGATAGCAGTGACTGCAGTGGCCATTGGCCTGTGCTCTGTTAAGCCTTTATACTGTTCTCTCGCCCATAGTGAACCTGCTGGTTACATGTGTGACTTCTAAGCTCTAGGGCACAGCTGACAAGTCCTTGCTGGTGATGAATTAGAGGTTATGGCTTTGAGAGCACTGGGTCCAATCCTTCCTTGCTCAGCTACAAACCCCTCACCCTATCCAGCTGTCTGAGAGGGAGAGAAGAGACGTACCCTGTGAAATTTGTCTCCACTGTCAGAAATGCTGTTCAAAGGACAGGCTGTCTTTTTACACATAGAGGATACAGTTTGGGGGATGTGACAGATACTGTCCTGACATTTATTCTGCTGCCTATGTCCTGAACGTAGATGGGCCTTTGAGAAGGCAGCACTCAGGGGTGCTCAATGGAAGACTGTAGTCCTACTGTGGGGAGAAGAGGACCTGTTCGGCGGTTTGCTGGAAAAGGCCTTGGACCCCCACAAGAATACTCAGAAACAGACTAGTGAAATGGAAGTGCTCCAGTTTCTAGGACACCACACAAGCTCTGTCTCTCTGTCTGCCCCGTCAGAGTTCTCCCTTAAGCAGTCTCTTTCCGGGGGGACTGGAATAAAGTGCTGCACCGTAGAAGGAGGCCCATACCCCTCTCCTCCAGCAGAGCTGCCTCTTCAGGAAAGATGCTCACCCCACTCCTGAGCCTGTGCCCTGCTGGGTCTTGTCACTGTCTGTCCTGCTCCGTAACATCAGGCAACACTCTAGGGTTTTTAAAGGAGGATCCCAGGATCATACTGCCTAGAGTCAGCGTTGACAGATCACACAGGAGGTCCCACTCTGTCATTTTGCAGCAGGTGCCTTCCCAGAGCCTTGCTGGTCACATCTGTGGTAGAGGAAAAATGACATTTAGCCAGGCAAAGACCTGTGTCTGCTGGGTGTGTTGTATCCATTTTCCCTTGGCTCCAGACATAGCAACAGCAATGGGAGACCATGCAACATGGCAGAAATGGCCAATGGCATCCTGACCCTTTTCATGAAAGCAGTTATGATGCATTTTGGCAATATTGGATCATCTTCCCAAACACATTTCATGTGACTATCATGGCGTTCCTAATCTGTGGGTGCTATAAGCCTTCTGTTTGGTCCACCTGTTGGGTGGTACAGCATTGCTACTTAAGGAGGCATCATGTCTGTTGGGTAAAAATTCTGTGTGTGAAGTAATGTTTTCAATAAATGCTAATCCCCTCTAATCCGAATCTAATTCCTATGCTTGAATTTTTCCTTCAAAGAGAAAGACCAGGACAGGTGATATAGCTAGGTTAGAGTGCAGGGGTCATCTTGACTGTTATTATTTCAGGGGGCTTAGTGAATAAAGAACAACAGCCTCACCGTTTGCAGGGACAGACAGGATTGTGTCTAGTGTGTATGTGCTTTGTACCTAATTGGACATTCTTACTTGTCATCCAGGGAGACAACAACACAGACATGGTTCTCACAGCTAGGGAAGCAGCCAGAGCTCCTAAGTGACTTCCTCAAGGTTGTCAAATAATGCGGTGGTCCGGAAACAACAGAGAGGGTGCGGGGAGGACAGAGAGGGAAACTTTTGCACTCTCCCTTGGCGCTATGATTTCTACTCAGCGAGGTTGATTGTAATTCAACAAAGGATGTTTTCTTCCTGTTTGGATCTTTGCCCACAAACAAAGGCATTTTCATAAAAGGCCAATGGAAAGTATCTTGGTTTCAGACAGCCATAATCTGCCCTAGGGGCTCTGAGCTTTTTAGGTTAGGAGTAGAACAGGAAGCTAATGTCCAACTTACTGACTTGCAAGCTTGTGCAGATGGTACAAAGAAATATGATCTTCATTCTAGTGGGGCTGGAGTAGACAGTGATGGGTCTGGGTCACTAGGAAAATTGCAGAATTTTTTTCTTTAAATTTTGATGATTAAGTGAGATAGAAGGCCTGGGAGCTTTCTCTACAGTGTGCAATTACTAGCAATTGCCAACTATTCAAGCTTTACAGGGATGAAAGCTGTCTGGCCTGGCTTTTGGCCATCCAATTCGATGAGTAGCATGTGGCAGACTGAAACAGGACCTGTGGGATGGGGAGACACCACACAGGAGCCCAACCAAGCTACGGTGCTTGTCCACTGGCCCAGTTCATAGTACCTGTGCTCCTTGACTCTTCTGAGAAATTGGCTCTGAATAATGTCATGCACATCCATGCACTGAAGCTCTGGCTGGGAGGCAAGTCCTTAATCATGATCTTCTAATTCCCTATACCATCAGTGGCCATTGCCCTGGATCTACAATTTTCTGGCATTCCTCCTGAAGAGCTGTTGAATAACAGACTTTTCCTGGGGAAATACAACACACACACACACACACACACACACACACACACACACACACACACATATTCTGTTCAGCCCAGAAGTGGGATGCACAACAGACCAAAGTCACACCACCACAGTGTGATAAACTAATGGTTTTTTACTGGAGTTACTAAGAGGCATATGGGGTGAGGGATTACTTATAAGGAACAGGGAAGAGTTAAAAGCAGCCACACCACCTGAAAGTCCACCCCAATATAGTGATATTTTATATATGTTTTAATAAATAAAGCTTGCCCGAAGATCAGAAGGTAAAACTAAGCTACCAGAGGACAGGCTGTGGTGTCAAACACGGATTTGAGAGACAGAGGCAGATGGATCTCTGTTGAGTTCAAGGCCACCCTGGGCTTCACAAGATCAATGCAGAAACAGATCCAGGTGGTGATGGCTCACTCCTCTAATTCCAGTACTAGGGAATCAGGGTTTTAATCCCAGCACTAAAGGGGAATATCAAACAGGAAGAGGTAGAGGCTCAGCTCTCTGCAGTCACCCAGCCTTGGTAGAGGCAAGACTTCTCTAGAGGCTTGACTGCTTTGCTTTTCTGATCATCAGCCTGAACCCCAATATCTGTCTCTGGGTTTTTATTATTCATGCTACACCCCAACAAAATGTTTCATGTTTTCTGGCCCAGTCTTAAAGTTGTCGACTGGTGCAGGGAGGCGCTACTATCCAGAAGAAAAAACCTGCCATGCTTGTCTCAAGCTCCGAGGCCTCCGTCTTGGGTCAGGAGGGTGAGACAGAAACCAGGAGTGTGCCATCTTTACCATGTATATAAGAAATTTTAAGGAACTCTGTGGTACTGAATTTAAATTTTCAGCTTGGCCTCATTTATCTCTTAGGATGTACCTGAGTGTTTCTGTAAGGAGTTTCCAGTGAGCTTTAACTAAGGCAAAAAAAGATCTACCTGGATGTTGGTGGTACCATCCCAAGGGCTGGAACCACAGATTAAATAAAAAGGGAGAAAGGAGGAAGTGAGCTGGGCATCCGTATTGATCTCCTTCTGCTGACTGACTGTTGGAGGCTGGCTGTCTCCTGCTCCTGCCACCACAGCTTTGAGATGCCCCACCCCCAGGTGTTTCCCATCATGATGGACTGTGCCCTCACATTGTAAACCAAAACAGTCCCCAGGTGCCCTGTTGGCTCATGGCAGGTATTTCCTTACAGATTTGAGAAAAGTTAACTAATAAAAACTCCTAGGACAGCTTCCAGCCGAACAATTTCTGTACACTTTTAACACAGTTATCAACTAGCAGAAATCTGGAAGCAAGAAAGAAGCAACTCACAATGGCGAGGGCCATCAAAAGCATTAGCATCTGGTTTCTAATGGCAGTTAGAGACAGGAGTGGCACTGTCCCTCCAGAAGTGACTAGAGATGTTGTAGACTAGAGTTTGTAAAGGGTGCCTGGGGGCAGGGGGTGGTTCCAGTCCTTGGAAGTACCTAGAGAGGGAAAGAAAGTTAACAGCCTATGTACCCGCCCCTTCCTCTGTCCTCCTACTCTGCCTGCTTCTTCTGGCTACACAGACAATGTAGCAGCTTGACTCAAAGCGAGGACAAAGGGCATCTCTGCTCCTTTAGAAGGATAAAGCCCCAGATGTTCAAATGCCCAGGATGTGTAAGCGTCCTACCTGCGCCAGGAATCTGAACTGTGGAAGGCTGCGTGGGTGCCCTGGCATTCATGGGGTGGGCTGCTGGTCAGGGAAGCTTTCTGTAGCCTGACCTTGGCCACCTTCCTGCACCTCTGATATCAGTGATCAGCTATTGCCCTCCTCCCAGTGCCCCCACTCACCGGCATAGTTCATACCAGGCACCTAGCCCCACAGCCAAGTGTCCTGCTGTGCCATTCAAGCTGCTCACCCCCTGCCAACCAAGTCCTCCAATGAAGCCTCCAGGAAAGTCCCACTCCAGACTGAGGCAACACTCCAAGTCTCTCTAAGTTCTGTTGTCTGTGTACCTCCTCTTAACCGAGAGCCTGAGCAGGGGGAGACCTGCCCATGAAGTCCCACTACCCAGATAAGCACAAGCAGCATCCTAAGCTTACATGGTTTCCCCAGATTTCTGTCCCCGTCCCCTGCATAAGCTCTTGAGGACCTAGAGGACAGGTTCCTCTAAGGTTACCATTGCTCCTGGCCTGCCTTGCCCTGCCTTGCACTCTGGACTGATAACAAACACAGCAGCTTGGCTATAAAGCAGAGGACAAAGGGCAGCATTGGCCCCTTTCTAAATGACCAGCCCAGGTCAGGGGAGTGCCGAGGGTGTGATAATACTGTTTTTCCTGGTCCTAGGGGCTGGAGTGAGGACCAAGAAGTGTTTGCAGAGAGCATAGGGGCAGGCATGGGGCTGCTGACTGGGGCAGAGCTGTGGTCCGTGGCCATATTCTTCGCCATCTTCCTGCTTCTGGTGGACCTAATGCAGCGGCGCCACCGCTGGACTGCCCGCTATCCACCAGGCCCTATGTCATTGCCTGTGCTTGGGAACCTGCTGCAGGTGGACTTCCAGAATATGCCAGCGGGCTTCCAAAAGGTAAGGGAATTGTTGGAGGTCAGGAGAGGTCATCAGAACACAGGGGTGGTAGTGCAACTACATGCCGCGCAGGAGCTGGTGCCCAGGACAAAGCAAGTAAAGAGGCTTCCTTCCCTTGTGGAGAGTGGTACAGGACCTGAGGACACGCCAAACTTCCCAAAGTCAACAGCCAGGAGGTGGGATGGGACCTGAGAGTCAGTCTGAGATCTAGTTAACATGACGGAATATAGTGGGTAGTGATGGTGCTGGGGCTGCATCCCAAATTCAACATGCCTGAAATTGGGAGACTAAGGCAGGTGGGTTATAAATTCCAGGCCACCTTAATGAAACTACCTAAGAAACCAAAACTTGAGAGCCAGGTGAGGCATGCCTCTAATCGCAGTACTTGGGAGGCAGGGGCAGTCATATTTATTTGCATTCTAAGCAAGCCTGGTCTATCATATTGAGTTCCAGGCTAGCCCATAATACAAAATGAAACTCTACAATCTTTAAACGTAAAAAAAGCCAAATACAGTGGTACAGATCTTTAATCCCAGCACTCAGAGGAGACAAAGACAAGCAAATCTCTGTGAGTTCGACACCAGCGTGGCCCACATAGCCAGTTTTTACACAGCACTGGCTACATACTGAGACCTTGGTTCAAATATGCACACACACGCACGCACACACTCCCACAAGCATGAACACACAGTAAAAATAAAAGGAAAATCAAGTTATATAGGATTCACATTCCTTTCATTCTACCAGAGGGAAATGTTTTGAGAATGTAGGAGAGGCCATGATCCTAACCAAGTGTTTCTGTAAGGAAATCAAAGTTGAGAGAGGTGCATCTACTGTTTCCATCCTTTTGCTAGTTCAGATTCTCAGATTCCCTACTAACATCCCTGAGTCTTAGTTTCTGCATCTAGACATGGGGATGCTAGTGGATCAGTCGGCAAATACATGACACTAGCAAGATCCATGGTGAAGTGACTGATAATGAGTTGTAGGTGACTCCTTAGACAAATAATACCAGATTTCATCCTTCTATGAGACTCACTACTGGACCGCCCTGCCATATTCTATCAGTACAGCTAAGCACAGGGATCCAGGCTTGCCAGTAATGCACTAACTCCTTGCCTACAGCTGCGATGCCGCTTTGGGGACCTGTTCAGCCTACAGCTGGCCTTTGAGTCAGTGGTTGTCCTAAATGGACTGACAGCCCTGCGCGAGGCACTGGTGAGACACAGCGAGGACACTGCTGACCGGCCACTACTGCATACAAATGACCACGTGGGCTTTGGACCGCGTTCTCAAGGCAAATGCAGAAAAAGACAAACGTGGTGGGAAAATGGAAACTAGAGAGGGTTCGGGGAGTAGAGACAGTTTGGGACCAACTGTCTGGGAGGGACAGGCAAGAGAAAAGACAGCAAAAGCAGACAGCCACAGGATGGACAGAGGATCCTACAGTAGTGATAAAGACTAACGTGGTGATAAAGTGGGACAGGAGTAGAAAAGAGGACGAGGCTCTCAGGCCTAAGTGTGGTCTTCCAGGTGTGCTCCAAGCACAGTATGGGTCTGCCTGGCGTCAGCAGAGGCGCTTCTCTGTGTCCACCTTTCGTCACTTTGGCCTGGGCAAGAAGTCACTGGAGCAGTGGGTGACCGAGGAGGCCAGATGCCTCTGTGCTGCCTTCACCAACTATAATGGTAGGTGATGGATTGGTGGGTACAGGTGGGGATAGACAGCAAACACCCTGACCGGCATTTCCACTCACAGGACGCCCTTTCAGCCCCAACACTCTATTGGACAAAGCAGTGTGCAATGTGATCGCATCCCTCCTCTACGCATGCCGATTTGAGTATGATGATCCACGCTTCATCAGGCTTCTGAGCTTATTGAGAGATACTATTGACGAGGAATCGGGCTTCCTGGCCATGGTACCCAGATAACTACATACAGTGGGGCCTCTCAGGAAGATGATCAACATGCAGTGACAGGGAGAGGGCATTTGGGAGGAGCTGTACAAACTTCAATGGGAGGGGAGAGGATAGACTGGGGCCAAGTGCTTAGAAATGGTGAAGTACCTGTGGAAGGCACACAAGTCTGCAATTTTTCACAGTATGATAGCCCTTCTGGAAGCTCAGGGCAAACAGGAAGTTTAGAGACTCACACTTGGAGGGACTATGTTACTAGTCTATCGTGGAGGAGGCTGGGAACCAAGACTCTTCTAGGAGACCACAGCACAGGGAGCACCCAGGTCCCTCTATCGGCCCTCTCTGTTGCTTACAGTTCCTGAATGTGTTCCCGGTGCTACTGAACATCCCAGGGCTGCCTGACAAGGTCTTCTCTGGAAAAAAGGCCTTCATGGCCCTGCAGGATGAGCTGCTAACTGAGCACAAGATGACCCGAGACCCTACCCAGCCACCCCGAGACCTGATTGATGCCTTCCTGGCTGAGGTGGAGAAGGTGATTGGCAAGAGATGGGGCTGGGGCTGTGGGCTAATGTCCTGTGTATCACCAAGTGACTCAGCACCTGGGTTGCCTGGGGACAACAATGGGAGGCCACTGAGGGTCTTCCTCTCCCCACTGAGTCTACTATTTCTGCCTGGCTCAGGCCAAAGGAAAACCTGAGAGCAGCTTCAATGATGAGAACCTGCGTATGGTGGTGGCTGATCTGTTCATGGCAGGGATGGTGACCACTTCGATCACACTGTCCTGGGCCCTGCTGCTCATGATCCTGCACCCGGAAGTACAGAGTGAGTCTGGCTGGGGCTGGGAAGAAAGAAGAAAGAGGGGTGAGCTACACCCCGTAAGCTTACCTGGGATACTTGACCCAGACTCCAGCAAGGGTGACAGTCATCTTTTTCCCATGGACCCAGCCCTTAACACATAGGTAGTAGAAGGACAAGGGGCATGCCTGGGGATCCTTAACTAGGGGGATGCTGTTTCTCCAGGCCATGTCCAAAAGGAAATTGATGAAGTCATAGGGCAGGCGCGGTGTCCAGAGATGGCAGACCAGGCCCACATGCCCTACACCAATGCTGTCATTCATGAGGTGCAGCGATTTGGTGACATCCTCCCACTTGGAGCGCCTCACAAGACATCTCGTGACATTGAACTGCAGGGCTTCCTTATTCCTAAGGTAGACCTGGGGCCCTCCAATGTCCAGTCATTGTTACCAGTCAGCTAGCGGCCTGAGTTACCCAGTTGAGAAGGACTGGAATCAAGGCAATCCATTCTCAACTGCACAGTACCAACCTCCCCTGGTGAGTATGAGAAGTGGAACAGTAACAAGAAGTGTAGAGCAGAACCCCAGCTAGAAAATCGAGCAAGCTAAAATTAGCTAGGGTGGTTGTAGCAGTCACTACCTACAAGTACAGGTGACAGTATGTATACCTATGTCACTTGTCACTTATCCCTGTCTTAGTATCAAAGCTAAGATGCTTCTAGAACTGAGGTTACATGAAAGAATTAAGTATGTGAGGTAGAGACTGTACATGTGGTCGTAGTGTCCCCATCCCGGTCCATGTTCACACCATGTGCTTCCTGCCAGGGGACGACCCTCATCACCAACCTGTCCTCAGTGCTGAAGGATGAGACTGTCTGGGAGAAGCCCCTCCACTTCCATCCTGAGCACTTCCTGGATGCCCAGGGCCGCTTTGTGAAACATGAGGCCTTCATGCCATTCTCAGCAGGTCCTGTGGGGTACCTGGCTTCCCTCCCCCTTCCTAGAATGCCCTAAATTGTGAATCTAGGCCCTTGTCTGACTGAGTCCCTCTCCCACCTACAGGCCGCAGAGCTTGCCTCGGGGAGCCCCTGGCCCGCATGGAGCTCTTCCTCTTCTTCACTTGCCTCCTGCAGCGCTTTAGCTTCTCCGTGCCTGCTGGACAGCCCCAACCCAGCGAACGTGGGGTCTTCAGGGGTATGACAGCCCCATCCCCATACCAGCTCTGTGCTTTTTCCCGCTAAGAAGAAGGACGAACTCTCACTGCCCTGTTGGGGTCCTAACATGCAATAAATCGTCTTACTCTGAACTAAACTGTCCCCATGAGATCTCCAGGCTGGAATGGGATCTCGGTAGGCTCCCCTGGATATTCACAACTCCCTACTTATTCTTACATGACCATTTGACCCCAAGGAAAGGACTGGTCTTTTGTACTCAGAAAATGATACCTACCCCTGCCTCTTCCCCCAGCCCTCACTTTTCTCACCCACATTGATAATGTTTGTACATAGATGCCAACACCTGGAAGGAGAGCCAGAAAGGACTGCTGATAGGTGACGGTGTCAGTTACACAGAAGGGAAGGGCAGGATTCGTCCTATTCCCACTTCCACCCGCCACACAGCTGAGGCTAACTATCACCACTACTGCCTGACTTCCATGACATTCCAGAGCTGCAGAGAAGTCAGGGGCTGGAAATGATATGCCAGGTTAAGTGCCCAAGGTTACTCATAGGGTACCAGCTGCTTCCTTCAAACACTTTATGGGTGTCCAGAATGGGTTACCTCCCTAGCTTCTTAGTCACCACTATGACCCATCAGGATTACTGGTGCCCCTGCACAGTGAGAAGGTGAGACAAAGCTTGGCAGAACCAGCAAGCTCGGTGTTGGTACATGCTCCCAGACTTAGTAGATCCCCAGACCTTAGCACAACCTTCTCCATGATGGAATTACCATTCATGCCATAAAACTCAGCACACTGACAGCACCTCTTGCCATAATGAAAGCAAACACCCAATCCATCACAGTTCATAGTTCTGGGAAAGTCTCTAAATGCACTAACCTTGCTTTTTGGCTTCTGTAGTTTTGCTTCTGGCTAACTCTTCTTGTTAACTGATATGTGTCAATCCAGGATATTCTTTTTTTAAAAAAGAAAAGAAAAGAAAAACGAAGAAAAAAGACAGAAAGCTCACTCTTAGAAAGACTCAGGACTGCACTGGAATCAGTGTCTAGACAGTTAATAAAGACTTTCTATTGTTTTAGACCTTTGTCTGAGCAGTCTTCTCTGGTGGGTACCCCACAACATTTCTAGAGGTTCTTCCAAGATCCCCAGAGACTAAAGCTTGAGACACTTTGGGCGGGGAGGGGGGGCCAGGGGGGTCTCAGATCCTCAGAGTAGAGAAGTGTGCAGAGATCAAGGAACTCCTAGGGTGTACAGAACCTGAAGACTTTTCAGGACCCTATGACTCCCTTAGATCAACTGCTGCCTAAAGTTTGAGGAGTTTGATACCTTCACCCCAAAAGGGAAAGAAATTCTGATGTCAGCTGGTCTCTTACCTGCAGTGGTAAGTCTGGGTAAGAAGCCTTCTGTTTAAAGTACAAAGGGGCGCTGCTGATCCAGCGTCTGGGATCCATGTGAGATATCACCAGACTCCCCTGGTCTGCTCAGGTGTATGAATGTGTGATGACCACCACCCTTGGTTGTCTTTACTGTGGGTCTCTCTGTCCATCTCTATTTCTATCACTTCTGTTGACTGGAGAAACATCTAAATGGCAGGATCCTGCCCCAGTCCTCTCTCCGTGGTCCACAACTTCCTGTAGGCTCACAGGCACCTTCTGCTGCTGTTGCTATGGCAATGCTGGCAGCAATGGTGGCTGCCCATGAGGCCCACCTCAATTTAGGTTCCTGGCCTCGCCAAGCACAACAAGCTGCCCCCATTCCCGTATTGGTGGGAGTGAGAATCATGCACTCCACTGTGGTTGAAACTTCAGCCCTAGTTATGGGGAATAAAAACTTCTTAAAAACTCATTACTCATGGAGGCATAGACTTGGGCCATCTAAAAATTCTGCTTCCAGTCTGGAAGTCCAGTTAGATTCTTTAACCGAGGTTGTTCTTCAGAATAAAGAGGGACTGAACCTCCTCTTTATGAGACAAGGAGGTCTCTATATAACACTAAAAAAGCCAACAGAGAAAAAAAACAAACTTGTCACTTCTATGCCAGTCAATCAGAGACAATTAGAAAGATTTAGCCATGATCAAAAATAACCTTTAAAAAAAAAAACAAGAGAAAGACATCAAATTCTAATAACTGATACACCAGTCTGTTCTGGACCTCTAGCTAATTATTATATTTAAGTTAGACCAGTCATTGGTTGGTCACTCAAACAAATTCTGCACCATGTTACCCCATCACATCTTGCAGGCAGGACAAATCATAGGTTGAAGGTTTTGTGGCTGTGGTTGGTGTCACAATCCCTCCACTAGAAGCCTTGCCTGGGTATAGAAAATGGCCAGTTCAGGCTCCCTATCTCCCATTACTAGGAGTCTTTCCTAGAATAACCCTCATGGAATCCTGGGAGTTACAACTACATAGTTTTCTATGTTACCATTGAAATGCCCCCCAATATCAGTACTCTCTCCCTCCACCCCGCAACCTGTTCCCTCCTGTTCATATCCTCACCTACCCTGAGTTTACCCTTGTAATCTCTTCTATGCCCCCATCCCAGTGAGATCCATGTGTCCCCTTGAGCCTTCATTTTTATTTAGTTTCTCTGGGTCTGTGTATTATAGTATGATTATCTTTATAATTTCTGGGGTCACTTATATAAAATATTAAATACTTAAGAAATTTGTATGTCATCCTTGCACAGCGACCAAGTCAATCTTCTCTGTTCATTCCCATTTTACTTTGTGTGCTGCAGAAGCAAGAACAAGTCTTGATAAATTTTAAAGATTTCTCTATCTATCTATCTATCTATCTCTCGTGTGTGTGCGCGCATGTATGTGTGTGTCACATGTGTTCAGATGCTCAATGGGGACCAGAAAAGGGTACTGGATTCCCTGCTGCTAGAGTTGAGTTATGGTAGATCGTGAACCCATGTACATGGGATTATATAGAGAGTTTCAGGTTGCCAGGTTAAAATATAAAGGAGGGGAGAGAAAAAAGAAGGAAAGAAAAAATATGAAAAAGAATATTAAATGGAAAAATATTCACTATCCCTTGACAGGACAAAGACTGAGTGATATAGGGTCAAAGCTACACCAGCTGAGTCACACAGCAAGATCATCCCCTCATCTATTCAATTCTGTGCCTTGCCGCCCACCCCCTTCCCCAATACTTTCAAAGTCCCTATCAACTGAGCTTTCAGAAAAAGGCAGTGGCCACCCCCTTGTTGGGCCAGCCTGCAGTGGAGATAACCACCTTTACGATAATGATGAGACAGACCAGAGGACTGCTGTCGTTACTGTAGGAGCTTCTCCTTTCTATGTCATTAGCTTAGGCTGCACGGGCTACTTCATTCATGGTGGGAAAGTTCATTGTTATCATTGGGGAAATACTGCAAATTCTATCTTTTGTTTCCAGGCATTTATTTCTTTGCCCAGATCAATAAAGCAGAAAAAGAGAGGATTGAGTAGCATTTCCAAAATTGTTAGGTCCTTTGCTATTTGACTTGCTCTTTAATATAGTATACTTTGCATAACTCACATGTTGTCATATTTCACATGTACTATAAGATGTATTAATGTGAATACTTAAGGGATAAAAAATTTAAGTTAAATAAATGAGGGTATTTTATGCTTTAAAAAAAAAAGAAAAAGGCAGTGGCTTCTCATCAGGAATCAGGCAGGGAGGTGATCTAATGTGACAAGTGACTGAGATTCTGTACTGCTTTCCTCACCTGAAAAGTAAGAATGCTAACAATACTATGCTATGAGATTAAGCTACATTAAACACTTAGGGAACCATTTGTTACAGTAGCGGTTTCTGTTTTCTTTACACTTGATGTCCAGTGATAACCTTATGAGACATGCCAGCAAAGCCAGAGATACTCAGAACTGATGATTTAAGGATCCTTCCAGCGTTCACGGTTTGGAATGGAAAATTCCTTGTATAAAAGGAGTTCATTAGGCTAAGGTGTATTAGCACCCAAGGAGGTTGAGGCAGGGGAATCAGGAGTGTAAGCCAACCAGGGCTACATAGTGAGCTCCTGCTTCAAGAAACGCAGCCACAGGAGCTCAAGTGATGGCTCAGCAGTTAGGCACACTGGCTGTTCTTCCAGAGGATCTGGGTTCAATTCCCAGCTCCACAAAGTATCTCACAATGGTAAATTCCAGGGGTAAACATCGCCTTCTTCTGGTCTCCGCAGGCACCAAAAACATACGTGCTGCACAGACAGACATACAAGCATGTAAAACCCTCGTAGAATAAAATTTTTTAAAAAAAGGCAACCACAGCCAGGTGCAGTGGGCACACACCTGCAGAGGCAAAGAAGTCACTACAAGTTCTGAGGCCAACTGGTCTACACAGAGAGTTCCTATCAGACAAAAATGAAAAGCAATGACAAGTGAGTTAAATATATATAAATGGAGATTATTACTATAATCTGCCTCCCGAAGCAAAGACAAGTTAAAATAAAGAGGTAAACAGATAGATAGATAGATAGATAGATAGATAGATAGATAGATAGATAGATAG